CGCGGTGACAGCTAAGTTTTAAATATAAATGTCTCTATTCATATTCGTCCGCATTTACAACGAAGCGATTCTAAAACAAAGTTCAAAAATGACGTCACGTGATTTTCATGTGTCAGTTCCTTACATTTGAACTTCGTTAGGGAATCGCCTCCGAGCAAATGCACTTAGTGGGCAATATTTAGAGGATTGATCCCTACAAAAAAGTTACTATTGTTATGTCAATGTTGCCAGTAACTATGACCTCTGACGTCTAAATGTGGTATCATTCATAAAACAAATAATGCAACATCAAAGAGCAAACTCATTTTACTCATTGTAAGTAGATCAAACAGTGGAGACGCTTAAATAATAACCGGCCTCGTGAATATTCAACTGCAAAGTTCAGTCGACCTTTCTCAAAGGCTATGCTAATGTCAATCCTATACACACAGCGCTTTGTTTGTGCCCCTGCTCGCCACGCAGCGGTCAATATTCTCTACCCATGCTGTCTAAAACTGTTAATTTCACTTGTATTAAAAAAAATATTAAAAATACAAGTACATTTTTATTAGATTTTTACTAGATTAACAAAGAACACAGGTGTTTCAGCCAAAACTTTTTTTAGGGTTCCGTACCTCATAGGAAAAAAACGGAACCCTTATAGGATTACTTTGTTGTCCGCCCGTCTGTTAAGACCCTTTATTATTATTATTATTATGTATTACTAGCTGTCGCCCGCGACTCTGTCCGCGCGGGATTAAAAATAGATGTTGGCCGATTCTCAAACCTACTCAATATGGTCACATAATTTCATGAGAATTTGTCAAGCCGTTTCGAAGGAGTATGGAAACGAAAATTGTGACACGAGAATTTTATATATAAGATTATCGACTTTATTTCTATGTTTTTTAGATACAAGACACAAATAAAAGATATTAAATAAAAACTTAATCACATAAGAAGCATGTAATAAATATTTAGTTATCATGTTGAACAAAACATTACATGTACACTAATAAGGTGAATTTTGTCTTCGATGTATCTCCGGTTGTTAATTAGGCTTTGTGCTGTAAACTGTGTTCCGCAAGCCACCGACTCCCCCACCCCCCACCCCCCGCACCGCACCGCACCGCACCGCACCGCACCGCACCGCACCGCACCGCACCGCACCGCACCGCACCGCAACGCACCGCACCGCACCGCACCGCACCGCAGATTTATTACTTTGTAATGTACGGAATTAACCTGTCGACTTATATAAATATTTATAATATCATAAACAATAAATGTATTTGTCATATACAATGTTAATGGCTCTCTCTGTCAGCTTAAAGTCGATATATATTAAAAATTGATTTCTTTTTGCGTTGTAAAAGAAAGCAAGAATAACAAGGAAAATGGATGGAAAGTTTTCTATCTTGAATAATTTATTTTAAGTATCATAAGGCTTTATATCGCTTTCCTTATACCTGCCGTAATTTTGCAAACAGTACGACAAAGTTATAATAGCTCAAACAGATGTTATGTAGAAGTTGAAGAATGATCAAGTCAAACACGAGGGTAAACTTTTAGCATAACGGAACTCCGCAGTTGTACTAAAGTGTT